CGAAATATAAAGAATTCGTTTGTTATAGGTTCCTAAGTTCCAGTACTTTTCAAACAAATGTCTTTGTTCAACAATAGAAATTCTATCTTTACAATTTTTTCTACAATTTTCTTTTAAAGTTATAAATTTTCTTGCTGATACAATTTTGCTTTTATTTTTGTAGGATTGTCCAGTGTTTCTTTTAAGTGTACGAGTTTTTTGAGAATCAATTTTCGCTGAAATATCGAGTTCATCTTCGTCTTCTACCGATTGCAAGACATTTTCTTCAATTTGTTTCCCTAACACCGAAGTATTTCCATCCCTACTACTAGTTTCAGATGAACTTTCACATTGGGAAATATTAAAGCTGGGATCTGCTAATGAGTCATCGGAATCCTCTATGTGGCCTAATATTTCTTTATTAAAGTCTGAAACATTTTTTGAACAGCAGGGTGTTGCTTTAGGAAAATATGTTTTTTGTTTGTTGACATTAGCGTTAGAATTATTTATTTCAGCTGTTTCTACAAAATAATAAGAGAAAACCATAGCCCATAATTTATTATTTATTCATAATATGCACAAAATTTAATTACACTAAACTAATATAATCGTTAAAAAAAAAAAGAAAAGTAAACTTCTGATTTTTTAAAATATTATAGTCTGTTAATATGATAATGAAAATAATAAATAAAGCAAAAATTTATTTTTTAATATTAGGCTTATGTACTCCTACTATTATATGTAAGATATTAAAAATTTAGTGTCATAAAATTTTATGAAAAAATTGTAATATTCCAAATATTTGTCACACTTTGTACATAATAAATCTAATTCAAATTATTTTTAAAAGACATTATGAATAAACTTACCATTCAGATTCTGGCGACTTCCAACAATTTTTCTAGCCATTTCTAACATAGTTTTCGCTCTTGATGACATTTTAATTTTTTTTTTATACCTATAATATAGTATGAATTACCTTTCAATTGTATTTTTTTTAATTTGTTTTCGGCAGTGTATTTTCCTTAAAAACTCTCAATTTTTCATTTGATTTTATATAAAACACTTATAAACACTCACATAATATTTGATCAAACTCAAGAATAAGACTGAATGATGCATTCAATGTAAACGCTTAACAATACTTATGATTCAGTTAAAAAACCGTTAGAATTTTTTATAAAAACTTAAAACGATTTAGGTTACTGCCAAAACAAAATTTAGTTTTTTGTAACCGCTTAACTCTAATAAAGAAATACTTGTAAAAAATTCCAATTTAATATAAAAGCTTATCTCGACATAAGCTGTTATAATTTTTAAAACTAAATTTTTTTTCCGAAAAATTTTTAATATCTTATAATAACTTAACTTGAATTAGGAAAATTTAATAAAATATCATATGTATTTTCGTTTTCTTAAGTGAAGTTAAGTCATTATATTTTGTGCAGATATTCACTTAACAGAGTTAAGCGAATATATCAATGGCAATATTTCAGGACTGGAAAATGCTACATTTACCAAAATTTGACACAATATAAATTTTTGGACGCTGAATTCAATGGTGCTTATATCTCAATTTTGTCTTATCTCGACTTAAGCGTTTATAATATATTGCCACAGATATAATCATCAAACAAAAATTTTATTGAAAATCACGTATTCCAAAAACATATAACAGCTTTAAGAACTTTAACTTTAATCAACAAACCATTATTGATTTAAAATAATTCTTTATGTTATAGAACCTATAAAAACAATTAATATTATTGTTCTAAATTAGTTTAAATTTTCAATTTTATAAACAAAAGCACATGGTTGTACAAAAATCTATTTATAAATTTTAAATAATTAACAATATCCATTTATTATTAATTATTACCCAAATATATATTATGTTTGTGTATTCTAATTCAATTTGGGGATTATAATAGACTATATGGAATATAAATTATATATTTAAAATTGTATTAAAGTTAGTGTATAATAGCACAGAGTTCGTATATTAAAAATATAAATGTTGTAATTTTATAAATATTTTTATATATCAAACAATAATAATTCTATATAGTACTAACTCTACAAAATGTACATATATATAGAAATGGACCTACCATCTAATCAGATGTTGTGTGAATTTTATTCTAAAATATATATATATATATTATGTACAAGTACACGTACATATGAATGGTATATGTATTTGTGCAAAATGATAAATTTTGTTTTTATTTGTTTTGTTATATTTATATGATGCTGCCCCCGTATTGTACATAATGACTGCAATTCTGATTTTATAACTAGAAAATTAAATTATTGTGGTTACTGAACTTATATATTATATACATATAGGAAATTATTTTATATATATAGAATATTTGCATATAAAGCATAATCACCTATATAATAAGAGTTAAATTACAGTATTTAGAAATACAGATTTGTTTATTGTGAATATATAATAATTATATATATATATATACATGTTTATTTAAGGTAGGAAGATATATGAATTGTTGGACGTTTAGATATAGGTAATTTGTTCAATTTCCTATAGTATAAAAGTATATAATACTTGTATAACAGTTTAGTGTATAAATATGTACGATTATTAAAATTTTCTCAATGAATAGCAATAATAAAACTTATATAAATGACAATAATAATAATAATATAATAAACAATATAGTAAATATACAATCAAATAAACACATAAATATTTATTTTATACAGCATTATTTAGAATTAGAAATTGTAACAGCAACAGCAGCAACAGTATCAGTAGCAGCTGGTTGTTAATGAAATAGCAAGTAAATGTTAATATTTTGTATGTATATTTGCATACATATAATTTTGTAGCATTAAAATAATTATGAAAAAAAAGTTAAAATATAATAATAATCAACAAATATTGTACGAGTATAGAAATTTTAAGCTCTACATAAATTTAATCATAATTTTTAAGGATTATTACATTAAAGTATAAAATACCATATACACAATAATAATGTGTGACATACTTAAATATATTATGCATGTTATAGAAAGTGTAAGGATTAAATATGTAATTTGATAATTTAATATTATTTTCATTAGAATTTCAATATTATTTTAATAATAACCTATTAGTTTTTTCAATATGTTTAGGGAGTAAAAAAGAAGCAAAAAAAAAAGAAAGAGATTCGATTTCATTACCAAAATAAATTTTTACTTTCACTGAAATTTTGAATATTTAAAATTAAAATGACTTAATATGTATATGTATAAGTATTTGATATTGTGCTTAAATTATGTGAATATGCTTAAGTATGTGTATTTCAACATTATTGTATTGTAATATTGTTCAATATTGACAAATTATTTATGGCAAATTCCCAATATTTATTCTTAATTAAATTGGTAAATAAAATTATGGTTTGAAAAATTTCATTATTTATTATAATATTGTAAATTAAGCTTTTTCTAATATCTATTGTATATAATGATAATAATAATTACATGGTAAATTATTAGTTATCTGAATAGAATCTATAGAATAAAATTTTTAATAAAATATTTAAAAAGTTTTATTAATTCTTCTTAAACACATTATTTGTAAAAAAAATTTAGGTTGCCCTTTATAAAATTTACTTTTTTGGAATTCTTCTTAAAAGGAATATGGTAACATTGTTGTAGCGGTTATATTGCAAAAATCTGATGCTAGTTTTATAATATAAAAATGAAAAACATATTAACTATAGGAAAATAGGGGGTCGGCACAGTATTATAGTAATAAATTTTTGCAAATTCTAGGAACATCTTAAAAGTATTATTTTTTCTGATCACAAAATGAAAAGTGTATTTTATATCTAAATTTATATATGAGAATTTTCGAAAAAATGATATTTTTGACTGTTTATTTATTTAAGAGCTTAAAATGCTCTTAAATTAATTGCAACAATTGATTTTACTAAATTATTGAAATAATCTGAAAAATATTTCAATAATTAAAAGTTATTTATTAAAGAAGATATATTTGTCTCATTATGCGATAATAGGCGACACTATGATTGAATTAAATTCAAATATTAAAATGAATTATGATGAACCTATTATTTTTATTTTATATAGCACTTTTTTGTTGAACGTTTGTAAATTTGCATATAGTATTAATTAACAAATTTAAAAATTATAGCAATATTGTTGAAAATTTTTCACCAATAAAATGATTATGAATAAAAATTAATGCCATTTAATCATAAATCACAATTTCATGTATATTATATAATAAATATGTACTTGTATATAAGTATATTACAAAAATATATAATTCATTATTGGCACTTTTATATAATACAAATAATAAAATATAAAAAAATATTTTGCAATTAGTAGTATTATTAATTGTTTTTGAAGACCCCCTCTTCCCAACTATTCAAAATTAAGAATTCTTAATTAAAATTTTAATAAATTAATTAAAATTTTTAAGAAATTGATTTCCAAAGAATTGAATTTTTAGGAAAAATTCATATGTTTTAAGGGATATTCAGCAATTTTTAAAAAATTGATTAAGGCAACAATATGATAAATTTTATATTATAAGAAAATATTTATGTGTATATTTAATAAACAATATAAGAGCTTTTAGTAACAAAACCTAAAAAAAACTAAATATGTATGAATAACATTGCAATTAATCTTCATCGCAAAATTAAACAAAACATTTTTGTAATTTGATATTTTTTAAAAACATTTTTCTTGTCTCGTTTTTTTGCTATTTCATTTGCAAATATTTGTGTAAAATGCATAATAAAAATGTTTATAAATTTTGAAATACAATAATATTCGCATTAAATTTTTTTTAACTATTTGTAAAAAAAAATTGTGTTTTAAGTTAGAAAAATTGTTGTAATTACAATAAGCAACAAGATAAATTCAATTTTTTGTTCAAAATAATATTATTATAAATATTTGTTAATATATATATATATATAAAATGTATATAATTTTGTACAAAATCAATTAATAAAGAAATATTTACGTACATCCAGAATATAAAAGTAATTTCTCATATATATATATATATATATATATATATTTTGCAGTTAATATATAAGAAGAAAAATCAACAATCAGATGATTATACTGCCGGTTATAAAAATCCTTGAACTGTGATATTCTGTATATATATATATATATCAATATGTATGTATTTGTATATATTATGATCTCCGAATATTGATTTGTATATGCGATGAAAACTTTTGTATATATTGTGTTTTTGTTATTTTATATACGCAATTTATTAATTATTGTATAAAATATATTGTTAAATTTTTAAGAGAAATGTTTTCACTTCCTTAATAATTGAAATATTTATTTAAAAAAAAAAATTTTCAAAACAAAAAAAAATTTTTTTTCCAATATTTTTTCTTTATTTTGTTCTTATATTTTTATTAATTTTTTTTATTATTTCTTCTCTTTTTCTTTACTTTGTATTAATTTTATTTTATAACTAAAATTTTTTTTTTTAATTTTTTTTTTGTAAATATTTGTATATAATTTTGTAAATTTTATATATATAATTTTTTTTTTTTTAAATTTCACTTTGAGACAAAACAGAATTTTACGAAAAAAAAAATCACACTGAAATAATTTAAAAAATTTAAATTTTTAAAATTAAATGCAAAAAATAATATAGAAATATTTGTGAAATTTGTGTATTATGTTTAGTTAATTATTTAAATTAAATTTAAAAATTAAATTCGAAAAATTACTAAAATATTTTTTCTTGAAATAATTTGCAATGAGAATGGATGCAGTTTTTAAAAATTTTCGGGATTTTACGATATAAAAATAAGGTTTTTCAGAAAACAAATGTTACAATTTTATTAAATGGTATTAAAAATGATTATCCTGTGTTTAAAACAGTGTTATACACAATAATAATATTATTCCCTATTATTTAACATAATTAAATAAAAAATTTCTATATCACAATTTAAAGAATTCAATTTCGAAAGATTTTAGTCTGCCGTCGGAACTGTAACTAAAATTTCTTTTTAAAATTGAATGTTATTTGGTTCTTAAATTTTCATAGAAAACTATAGGTTACAATTTTGAAATTTTAATCAAAAAATTTGAATTTGAATGAATTTTAAAATTTAATTTTATTTCAAATTTGTTTGGTTTGAAAGAATATTGAATTTTATTTTAGTTAAAGATGATATAAGTATTCAATATACTTGATAATAATATTTAATGTATTTTAAATCAAAAAATTAAGAAAATTTTGAGTGTTAAGTTTAATATATTTAAATTTTTAATGAATACACACCGAAATCAAAGAAATAACAATCAAATTGTAGTCATTTGTATCACCAAAAAATTGCTTGATTTTAGTTACGATTTTTTAATAAAATTTTCGAAATGAAATAGAAGTTAATTTCAGAAAAGTCCATAAGAAATAAATTAGACGATTTTTCCATAACAATTCCACAATTATACTTGTCCATAAGAATTTGAATAAGAGACTAAGTTGAAATTACTACATTTATAATCACATAAGGAACTGCCAAATGTTTTTTTTTTTAGAATTTCAATTAGCATAATATTAATTTTGTTCATTTCTATAAAATATTCTTCAAAATGTGGTTGAAGCTGTTGACATGTTTATTATTTTCATAAATTTAATACCGGAAAAACTTTTTTTCCCACAAATCTTTTATTATAATGTACAATTTCAATTTAGAAATTTCGTTTTGGGAATTCAAATAAAAATAACCTTAACTAACATCAACTAAAAATTAGGTATTAGAATTTTGTAAATTTTTCTTCATATTTTTTTTTCGGCCCAAATTTTGGAACAAAGTTCAAAGCTCTTCAAATAGTTGTAATTTTACCTTGATTTGTTAATTAGTATTTCCTGTTTTCTTTTTTTGCTTTAACTGTTTATTATATGAGGCTTTTATAATTAATTTAAATGCAATGATTAATTGTATATAACAAATAAAATTCAATGAAATAAAGTAAGTGCATTTTTTTTTTATATTTCAACTTTTTTTCTATATGTATATTTGAATATTAATCTAAAAATAAAATAAACTTTTATGAAAACCGGTTTATAGATTTTAAAAGTTGGAAAAAAAAAATTCAAAAATATGGGGGAAAAAATGTGAAATTCAATAAATTGTTTGTTATATTAAATTTTTATAATTTATAAAATTACTGTAAGAAAACATTAACATGTATATATATTTGTAATTTTAGCATGTAATATTAAGTATGTTTTAAAATATTTGAATTGTAAATTAAATAAATTGTTGGTATTTATTATATAAAAAGCTATGATTCTAATACAACCATAAATCACATATAAAAATATTTTATGATAAAATTAAAAATTTTTTTAGATAAAATATAATTATGTTTAATAATTTGTATTTCAATTAGTTTGCAATTAGTATTTTAAAATAGTATTTATTAAAAAATTAAAATGAAATTGCTAATTACTTTCTATAATATAATTAATAATTTTAAAACATTTTTTTCTAAATAATTATCTTTAAAATTATTTGAACAACACCTTCATTTTCATGTTTATTTTAATTTTGAGCTATTTATTTAGATAATATAAAATTATTGAAATATTTATTTTAAAAGTGTTGTAAAAGTGTTATACTCGTATATAAAAATTGGAAATTTTTTGGCAGAAAAATATTTTATAAAATTATGAAAAAAAGAAAACAAAAAATTCATTTTAAGAAAATCATTCGTTTCAAATTTTATTTTGTAAAAATTTATATTTTCAATAATTTCGCGCCCAAATATATGCAATGAATTTGAGCTTATTATGTTCTAATTTTCCTTAGTTTCGGCTATAAAATATAAGAAGCAAATCAATTTTAATTGTATAATTTAGATTTAATAACTTTTATTAATAAAATTTAAATTCTGCTTTTCATTCTGGATTAAAAAAATGTTTGCTATTCGTTTGTTTTAACTCAAATTTAATTTAAATTAAAAATTTTATTAGAAAACATCACTTTTTCATAAAAAAAAAATGGTAAGGGTTTACAATTAATATTAAGATAACAATTAATAATTAATAACAATAAATAAGAATAAATAAGAACTTTAATAAAATCCTAATTTAATAATAAATAAATTAAAAAATTAAGTGTGAATTCATAATTATTTTCGTTTCATGATTAAATAAAATTTATATTTTGACTATCACGTAATTTATTTTATATAGAGTTTCCGGAGTTAATTTGTTAATTCCGGATTCAAAATATAAATATTCTTGTCATTACAAATTTATTGGTTTTTCACATTTCAAAAAATTTACAGAAAATAGATTTTTTTTTTGCTTCCGTATTGGTTTTTACATTCTTTTGGAAATTTTTTCAAGAAAATTAATATTTTGTATTTATATAATAATTTTTTTTCAATATGTTTAATTAAATATTATTTTTAATTTCTTATTCTTTTTTAAACATAATACACTTTCCTATAGGTATATATTTTCAATAAATCTAAAATAAATAATTTTGTTAAATTGGAATAAAATTTTTTACTTTAAAAATTATTATTGAATTTTATAAATTTGTTTCAAATTTTTTTTTTTAATTTTGCGTAGCACCATTAAAAGTACATACATTTATTATATTATTATTGTTTATTAATTATATTATGTAAATAAATTTTTTGATGTATTTTTTATTTTAATAATATAATTTTATTTATTTAAATTTTTTGTTTTTGTTACTAAACCGTTTTTATACAGCCAAAAATTACAATAACAAAAAAAAAGTTTTCTTTTTTCTTCAAAACTAATAAAAACTACAAAATAAAAAAAATATAAATAAATATTTTATAAGTTTTATAAAATAATTAATTAAATTTAATATTATTTATAAATTTATTTATATGAACAAATAAATTTTACGAACACAATTAATGAAAAATATGAGGAAAATGAAAAAGGAATTCAAGAAATTTAATGAAAATTTTATAAATAAAAATTTTTGTAATTTTATTTTTTTTTGTATAATTAAGAAAAATAATCAAATTGTTATAATTTTTTTTTAATGATTGTTAATTATTTTTGAATAATAGTCAATTATGTTTAACTAATTGTCATAAATTTTTTATTTATGTATAGAGTTTTTTTTTTTATAATATTATTTCAAATTACATTATTAGAATATCATAAATTTATAATTATTATTTCTAAATAATATTATACAATAACTGGCTAAATATTGTTATATGGTATTCAGTTGCAGTGATTCATAATTAAAAAAAAATTTTTAAATGAAAAAACAATAGAAAGTTTTTAAAACATGTAATTAAATAAAAGTATATAAATAAATAAAATCAATATTATTTTATATAATAAAAGTAAAGAATTTAAATTTTAATCGAACTAATTTTGATTTGTCCATTATGATATTTTCTATATATAAGCAAAATGTAATTTGCCGCCGGAATGTAAAATAAATTCTTTTTTTTATGAATGTAAATAAATATAAAAATGTAGAACGTATATGTTTACGTTTATTAAAGAATAATCCTGAAATTTAATATATACACATATATATATAACTTATGTCTTAATATATATATATATATATATATATATATGTAAATATATATATTTTGTTTGTTTTTTTTTTATTTCTTTATTTTGTAATCACTATTAATTTGCACTTATAAAATTTTTATTTTGGTTTAAAATTATTATTATAAAAAAATTTAAAGCGAAAATTAAAGAAGTTTTGAAATTAAAAATATTAACAATAAAAGAAAAAAAATAAAAATTATTTTAATTACAAATATTGTATATATATTATATATATATATATATATATATATTTTTTTAAAATATTAATGAATTTGAACTTTTGTTTTAATAAAATTTAGTTTGCTTTTGTTATTTTCTTTATTAATTTCTTTTGTGTGTCGTTTAAATTGTTTATTATGTAAGTATTTTTGTAATTACATATATATATATATATTTTGTATATATATGTTTATTTATTTTTTTAATTTGATATTAAATTTATTATATATTTGTAATTTTGAAATTTACTTAATAATTTTTTCTTATTTTGTATTTTGCTATAATTGTTTTTTGTTTTTTTTTTTTTTGTGTAATATAATAATTGTTTTAATTTGTAAAAAATTATTTATTTAAAATTTACTATATATTATAATAATAACGTGTATTTGTGTATATAGAATGTATTATTTTTTATTTTATTTTTTCTCAAAAAAATATATGTATATATTTTCTGTTTCTTATTATTTTGTTTTTTTTTCTGTTTTATTTTTTTTTTTGTTCTTTATATTTGATTATTTATTTCAAAAAAATATCGGACGCGATCGGACGCTACTCGGATCGACTCGGGCCGCGTCCGAAAATGCGTTCCGTTGCATATCGATGCGTTTCGTTTATGCGACTGAAAAATTATATCATCACATTCGAAGCGAGGTTCAATTGAGAGCGAAATATATGTTTCTTTTTGTTGTATTTTTCTTTTTTTATTATTTTATTTTCATACATATATTTTTTGTTATTTTCTATGTTCTT